CAAGACAGAGTCAAGAAGTCCGGAGGTGGGAGAGAGCGCAGGTGGCTGGTATGGTCGGAGCCGCTCCTGTGCGTGCTGCCACACCCGGCTCGGATCCCACGGATTGGAAGCACCATAGAGGCCACATTAAGAAGGAGCGATTGCAGCCTGATTCAGTCGGCCACTCCACACAAACACGCAATACTACGCGGACTGCAAGATCCTGGTTATCCTGTCAGTTGGTAACCTTCCAAGTCTCGACGTCTAGCGCACCGTGATAGCCTCTAGCTTCTAGGATTGTTTATAGCTGGTAAAATGCGCTGAAACATCGACCTTACTCTATAGCCTTTCCCAGCCACTGTCCGAGCCGGTCAGTCGTCCGGCGGGGGGGGATAGGCGCAGTGGCTGGTATAGCTATTCACCTCGTCTGTGCGTGCCGCGTACACGTTTTGACCCCGTCAAACACAAGCACTGCAGTTTAATACATAACGGGAGTGGGTGGCGTAGACCTCGCATCCGTGAGAGTGCCAGAAGTGACGTTAAGGTGCCATTTCAGCCTGACTCTCAATCCACCAGTCGGTAACTCCGCACAAACCCACACTAGGCTGACTGCGGGGTCTGGGTTCCGTCATCAGTCGGCAACCCCCAAGCCACGGGGCTTAACGCATCGTGATAGTCTCAGGCTCGGATCACACATGCAGTAGAGAGACCACATGGCAAAGAAGCCGAGGAACACACTTCCCACTAATGTATGAGGTGCCACTTACGTGCTCGCGTTGTCGTGTTGGGTATGGTCACATGTGTCGTAGGTGCTGGTGAGGAGAGACGTTATGGTATGATATGGCTGGCGGTGTTCCACCGCATGTTTTCATGGAGGCGAACGTGGCCGAATAGGCCTATGTGGCGAGCGAATTTGCGTGGACAGTGTTGGCAGTTGAAGCGGGTGAGATGAGTGAATGTTGGTGCTCCTGGCACCGGTTCGCCAGTCTCTGCCGACCAGGCCGATGTGCATGTGCTGTGGCAGTGACGACATGGTAGATTTGGGCTTTTAGAGTGGGTTGGGGCGGTAAGGCTATTAGCCCTGGTTGCGCTGGTGATTGGGGAGTTGTTAGTGTTGGATATGGGCGAACTGCTGGGTATGCACGGTGTGTTTGGAATGTAGATATTGCTGGGAGTCCCGCTTTCGTGGATGCCCATATGACCAAATAGGCCCATGCGGTAAGTGAATATGCGTGTGCGGCCTGCGCCGAGCGTGTGTCGGTGCACCGGTCACAGTGCGACGGACTCGCAAGTGGCCAATCAGGCCGATGCGTGAGGTGAATGTGCGATCGCAATGAGAACAGGCTAGGGTCGACACCTCATTGCTGGCGGTGAGGGCGGTGGTAGTGAGACTAGTCGTTGACGAGAGGTTGGGTGTCATCTCATCGGTGATAGGAGTGGGAAAGGTGATAGTGTTGATGGAGCTGGTCACTATGATTAACGCAGGGGTTGAGGCCAGGAGGATGGTGCCTGTGATCGGGACGGCGGGACACCGGCATTGGGGTCACCAGTTCCGGTGGTGGTCGTCGTGGGGTTTGAGGCAGGGGTGACAGTAGGGGTGTTCATGGAAGGAGAAATTAATGTTGCCGGGACCTTATGGCACCGCATCCGAAAGTGTTCCACGAGACCGATTAGCACTCGGAATGTGCGTTGTCAGCATGGGAATGTTGGAAGCTGTTGGCCTTTGGCGTTGTGTTTCCGAGGCTCTTGTGACTTGCGAGATCCCGTTTGGTTTGGGCAGCAGCGATCCGGTTTGTTTCGTAGATCACTACGCCAATCATCATTGCTATTTTCCAGGCCGATCTGTCTTGGACAAGATCCTCGCAGGTCTCCGGGTTGATATATAGGTTCTTCAGACGGCTCCTCGGGACGTCCTTATGGCGTCGTTTTTGTCTTCTCTGTCGTCGACTACCTGTACCGACATCTCTGTGTCGTTTGGGTCATCACTCATCGTCCATACACAAGGTGGCCGCTCCATTGCAGTTGCCTCAGCACTGTCTGAATGCTAAGGATTCCGGCCGTTCCAGAAATTCCTGTCCGGGGTCCTGTCCCGCCATCTCAGCCTCAATATTCTGCAGAGACAGCTGAGATGGAAGTGATTGGGCTTTCTGACATGGCTGGAAAATGCGGTCCAGGTCTCCGCTCCGCACAATTGTCGTCAAGACGACGGTCTTGTACATCTTCGGTTTTATATTCACTTGAGGACTAGGGCAATTCCGCGTGGAGGCCTGTAGCCGGCCGAAGACCTGACGGACTAAGAGATACGAACGGAAAATTTATCGTCGATTTTCGTGCTGCGCGAATGTGCCTCCTAAATAAACGAATTTGCCCACAGTTTAAAGTTGGCTAACCCTAGCAGTGATTCGAGGAGTGTTGTATTTCGTGTTGATGCCGGTTAGCGCATGACCACCGCTCTGTCCGTGCTGATTGTTAGTCCGAAGTCCATGCTCCGATGCATGTCCTCTTCGGTCGTGGTGTTGGATGCCCAGTCGTCCGCGAAGAGCAGATCATGGACTGCAGTCGTAGATAACCGCGTTGGGAACTGCATGTGCCAGCCATTGAGAAGATCCCCGTCAGCCCTGTAGGCGCTGCATATCCCAAGGACCTCGTTATCGTAGGCGTCGATCAGCACGGCAACAAACGTTAAGTTGAAGAGAAGTGGAGCGAGTACGCCGCCCCGTTTCACTCCGCCGGTCACTGCCAATGCTTCGGAAACGGCCCCGTCGTCCGTTACGTGTTCCAACATCCCGTAGTGGAGCTGACGCATCATGTGCGAGAATCGCTCAGGACAGCCGGATTTCTGCATGATTTTCCACAGTCAATCGCAGTTCACCGTGTCGAGGGCTTTAATCAGATCCACGAAGGTAGCGCAGACGGGAGTTCGCATCTCCTGACACATCGCTTGTAGCTGGCGAGCGGTGGGGATCATGTCGGTGGTACTATGATGTTGCCAGAAGTTACATTGGCAATCCGGGAGTAGTCCTTGCACTAGGTGGGTGTGGAGACGATTAAGGAGAGGGCGGGCAGAGATTTTCCCGACGATTTTATGAAGAGAGACACCTCTGTGATTATCAAAGAGCTGTCGGTTCCTCTTGTATTTGTAGAGATTGATTATAGTCATGTCCGTGGAATACTGAAGGACTTGTTCTTGGCGTCATATCATCTGCAAGAGTGGTTTGAGGTGGTCCACCAGTCGGTGGCCGCCGTGCTTGTAAATTTCAACTGGGATCGCAAAGGAGCCTGGTGTTTTACAGTCGACGAGTTGTTGCACGGCGCTGATTGTTTCTGTGGGGAAGGGCGGCAGATCCAGGTCGACGTTGATTTCAATCAGAGGGGGCCTGTCGATGGCCGCGACGAATTATGGTTGATTGGCGATAGTGGACACTTCTTAAGCGCTGGGCTCAGCGCTTCAGAATCTGCGGCTTCTCGATTAGAAGGGTTGTTTTGTCGGTGCTGAGAAGCGGGCGGTTCCTTCAGCTGTCGCACCGTGGATAGCCTTGGTCTCAGCGAAGAAGTTCTTTTAGTTTCTGCGGTCCGCATACACTTGGATATCCTCGGCCTTGCGAGACGTCCAGGCGTTCTGTATTTCCTGCAACGACCAGGTCGCTGATGGCTGTGTCGTTTTCATCTAACCAGTCCAGGTACTGACGAAGTACGCGTCCGAGGACACCTAGGGCGGTCGAATGGTCGGTGTCCTGCAGCTGGCACAATCAAGTCTCAACGCAGGCCTTTTCACCTGGGGCCTTCAGGTCTCCAGGTCGGTTGGTCAGTCTATTGCTGATGTGGGGATAGTTAGAAGGCAAAAACAACAAATCGATATTTCACTTTACCGATGGTCGCTTACCTTAAGGCCTCTTGCGAGGTTGCAGGTGGTTCATCATCTTTGAGATAACAAAGTCGTGATCCGTCCAACCATCGGCGTCGGAAAACGCCTTAATCACCAGCAAGTCCCGCTGGTCTCGCCTGTGGGCGAGGGCATGGTCCATCAGGTGCCGCTGTCGCGACCCAGGATTCATTTAGGTAACGTTCTCCCGCGTCGGAATTCGGAAGAGGGAGTTTATCAGCAGACGGCCGTGTTCTGAGCAGGTTCACAGGAGAAGACCAGCGCTCCATTTCAGGCAGCGCAGTCTGTCCCGACGCGGGCGTTGAAGTAACCAAGAACAATCAACTTGTCCGTCTTCGGCACAGTTGCCAGGGGGACGTGCAGGTCCTCGTAGAATTTGTCCCCTGCGGCATCGGAGCTGGTCATCAGGCGAGCGTAGACGATGATGGTGGTGGTGGCGAATTGCCTCCCCAAAGAGGCAGGCGGAGGCTCATCAGAGGATCGTTGATGCCCTGTGGCAGACAAGTCAGTTGTCCCACGATGTTGTTCCGGATGTCAAAGGCAACGCCCGCGTCCCGTCCCTCTACCTTGGAGCGACCGTTCCAGAAGAAGCTGTAGCCCGCACCCACCTCCTCCAGTTGGTCTTGTTCAGAGAACCGTGTTTCGCTGAGTGCAGGGATGTCCACCACGTAGCGCGCCAGTGCCCGAGCCACTAGTGCCGTCCTCCGTCCGGTCGGTTGCTCCTTGAGTTGTCTAAAAGGGAACGAACATCCTAGGCTGCCAGAGTGGGTGGACTCACCCTATCAGTCTGTACGGATGAATAGGGAGGAGGGAGAGCGAATTTGTTGTTTATCGATCGCGGAATTTTCGCCTACAAGGCACAGAATAATAGCAGATCGCGTCATTCCTCATCATTTAATTAGAGCGCTCAGCTAGGCCCCTCTCCATTATATGGTTATCCGTGCTTTCCCTAAATAGGGGTGTTCAGACATTCCCGGCGGCTGCCGAACTGTCATTTATTTGTTTATTTGACTGTGACTCAATTAATTCGGGCCGGAAACAGCAGAATAACCTAGGACTCTCAATAGGAGATTTGAAGTGGGAATACGAGTGAGATGGGGAGGCAACGGGCAAGTAAGGGAGGATAAACAGGGTGACCGGGTGTTCTAACAAACAGCGCCGGATTAACATATATATATATATATTGAAAATAAGTAAGATTCTTTGGGAAGGGAATAAACTTTAATGAGTAAATTTTCGAGTCTGGATCCCCAGCTCGTCGTCAGACTTTTGGGCAATGTACAAAAACAGTTAACTATTTAACCGTGT